TTTATTTTATTGGCTCTCTTCTACAAATACAATACCATGTCCGACTATTTGATTGCACGAATTTTGTAATTTGATCACGTTTTTTTGACACGTGTGTTTACCATGGGAAAGATGGATTGCTTAAATGTACCTAGTTGTTTAGACTAGTTGGATCCATAGTTATCCTGAAATGTATACTCTTGTGAAACACCAATGAGCATACGTAGTATGTCTTCTATAACCTCTATTCTTGTTCTCCACTTCATCATCTATCCATATTTGTTCTTTTTTAGTTCTCAGCTCAACACGACCCTTGTTTGAAGTTCCTAAAACCTTGATCTACCCAAGAAAGATCTCTCGTGGTAAAATGTTAGGTATGGCCAGTGGTTGGTCATCGTCATTGAGCCTTTTGACACCAGTTCAGAATACGTTAAATGTCCTGAAGACGTTGAGGAGGTTGCTAGTAAAGCTTCGCCTAAACCAGAAGTTAGTTTTCATGGTATGCTAACGGATTACGCAAACGTTGTTAGGAAGAAGCTCACATCAAATGGTTATGGTCTCGTTCCATCGTCGTCTGAGGATGTTTCATGTTTATCCTGTATCTTTCACCAATGTTACAAATACTTAGTTTTTTTATGTTTTTTGAAATTGTCGTTTTTATGACTATTATTTTAGAGCATAGACATTGAAGAATCTTGTGGTAGTACAGGTATTTTCAACATTTTTTTGTTGAAAAATTCTCTAGTTTCAATTCTTCGAAATTTCTCATCTTAATTTTCATCTTTACTTTAGAATCCTTTCGATACGAGAAATCGTCGGGATTTGAGGTACTTTATACGATATATTGAATTTAATTTTATAGCGTTAATAACCCTGATCTGTCCATGGTAACTTTACTATAATTCTATGGATAAATTATGTTTTATATATAAGATTATTGATGATCCTACTTCACCTGAAGGTGTTCAGCAAGAACGACGTATGAAGTTACTGTCGTTAATTAACAATATAGCCCTTGATAAAGGGTTGGATGGTCAAAATTATAAATGTCATGGTTCTTCCAGACCAATTGGAATGAGTATGATTAATGAATTCTCGACTTGTTATTTGCTAATAACTCAAATATATTTATTTTCAAATTTCTTAGCTTAATAAATATTATCCTTTGTAGAAACTATTATAACAAAGTACATAATCCCTTTTTTCCGTGAAGCCCATGGATGCGTTCGTTCATGATGAAAGAGTCATATTGTATAAGGAGGCTCTCGTTCATCACGAGAGAGTTATGAGAAAGTTACGTTGTAAAAGGTATTAAGTAAAAAACGTATAAACAGGCTTAGTGTTTGTTTAAGTTAAAGTTCAAAAAGGCAGAAATTTTTTGAACCTTTGAAGTATCCTTGGACGTTCTAGTTTTTTTTATTAGAAGAATTCTTGTAAAGAAAAAGATAAATTTTGAAAACCAAACAATCCCGTTTTCGGTTGATGCCTCCCGATACCCCGAGATAGTTGAGCACTAGAGCGTCGCATGTTAACTAAGGGAACCACATAATCCTTGTTTGTTTTCCATGAAACATATGGATGGTTTGCTCGTGATACATGAGAAACAGTAAATGGGAGAGTTAAATCAGAAAGATATAAACTGATAAAATTGGTATAAAACTTGTTTAAGGTTGTCTTTATTTATATGTGTCAGACAGGGTCATAAGAAGTTAATTGAAACATTGCGGTTTGTTTTATGAGAAAACAAAAAGATAAAATTCGAAGGGAAAAAACCCCCTTTTTCGGTCCATGCTTCCCGATTCCTTCTTAGGCGCAAGGTACTAGAACGCCGCATGTTAACGTTTCGGTAGGATATTTCGGCCCCTACACGCTATCCTACTTGGGAGATGCCAATTGAAGCCCATCAGACCTGAGATCACCTGCGATAGGCTTTGCTCAGGGTACGCAGGGAAAGTGGGGTCGCCACCGAAGTGAGGGCCCCTAAGCCACTGCATACTATATCGCACCCAGCTTCCACTGCTAGTTGAAATCTACTATATGAAGTTTTAGCTTTATATATATATACCAAAATTTAAAGGCGTACGAAAGTTGTGGGATGATTGTTATCGTTACTGCGCATGACCAGATGATTTTTTTGATAATTTGCGACTACGTGAGTTAATTGACACAAATGTAGTGGAAGTACATATAGTTGTCGTTTTCATGACTATGAACAATTACTCGAGTGGAGTGCGCATGATCGGGCGCATGCGCAGATGATTTCTCTATTAAATTGTTACTAAGCATGCTATTTACTTCAAAATTGGTGCTAGTAGATGCAGTTGGTCGTTGCCATGACCATGAACTTGGGTTACTGGTCAAGTTTGTTCAACTGGATGTTATAGTACCGATTTTGGAGCAATTAGCTCGCTCAGTCACACGTTTTAAGACAAATAATCTGCGCATGCGCAATCTCATTGAGCATGCGCAGTCAACTTGACCAGCTCCCCAAGTTCATGGTCATGGCAACGACCAACTGCATCTACTAGAAACAATTTTGAAAAAAATAACATGCTTAGTAACAATTTAATAGAGAAATCGTCTGCGCATGCGCTCGAGCATGCGCAGTCCACTCGAGTAATTGTTCATAGTCATGACAACGACCAACTATATATACTTGCACTACATTTGTGTCAATTAACTCACTTAGTCGCAAATTATCAAAGAAATGATCTGGGCATGCGCAGTGATAACAATCATCCCATAACTTACGCCTTTAAATTTTGGTATATATATATAAACCTAAAACTTCATATAGTAGATGTCAACTAGCAGTGGAAGCTGGGTGCGATATAGTATGCAGTGGCTTAGGGCCCTCAGTGGCGACCGCTCCCTGCGTACCCTGAGCAAATCTTGATCGGGTTGATGGCGAAAGCTATTGGCATCTCCCAAGTAGGACGTGGAGCCAATCACCGAAACGTTAACATGCGGCGTTCTAGTGCCTTCCTTAAGTATCGGGAAGCATGGACCGAAAACGGGGTTTTTGCTTTCGAATTTTATCTTTTGTTTTCTTCTCATAAAACAAACCAACATCAATTAACTTATGATCCTGTCTTATAAAAACCCTTAAACAAGTTTTATATCAATTTTGTCGGTTTATATCTTTCTGATTAACTCTCCCATTTACTGTTTCTCTACAAGCAAACCATCCATATGTTTCACGAAAATAGCAAGGATTATATGGTTCCCTTAGTTAACATACTCGGCTATCTGGTTATCGGGCATGGACCGAAAACGAGTTTTGGTTTTAAAATTTGTCTTTTACAAATTCTTCTCATAAAAATTAGAAACGTCCAGGATACTTGAAGGTTCAAACAACTTCTGCCTTTTATAACAAACAAACACTAAGCATACGTTTTTACTTATTACCTTTACAACGTATTTTCTCATAAATCTCGTGATGAACGAACTCTTTATGACATCATGAACGAACATCATGAGCTTACGAAAAAACTGTCATAATAGTTTCTAAAGTCATTTATTAAGCTGAAGAAACAAAATAAATATAATTTATTAGCAAATAACAAGTCGAGTATTTCCACTTATTTATCATCACCTTTTATCAAGGGCTATGTTTTTAACGACAGTATCTTCATACGTCGTTCTTGTAATTTTCACGTGAGGGATCATCAATAATCTGTTATATATAAAAACATAATTTATCCATATATACAAAGTTACCATGAACAACGCTAAAATGTGTATAAATACCTCAAATCCCGACGATTGATGGTAAAGATGAAAATTTTTCAAGAAAATGTTGAAATGTACTCCACAAGATTCTTCAATGTCTAATTCTAAATAATAGTCATAAAAACGACAATTTCAAAACATAAAACTTTTAAGTTCATGTTACATTAAACCCAGGATGAACATGAAACCTTCTCAATACGATGGAACAGATTATGGTGATGTCAATTATTCACAACGTTTGTAATCCATAAGCCCCAACTAACTTCTCGTTGATGCGACGCTTTATAGCCTCCTCAACGTATTACAATACCATATTGAACTAGTGTCACAGGCTCAATGACGATGATTTCCATAGCCATACTGGCCTAGAATCTTTCTTGGGTAGATCAGGTATATCCTAGTTGTGACATGAAGTAAAAAAAAATAGATACTTGAAGTGGTAGAAAGATAAGTTAAAAACACACTAATGCTCATGGTGTTTCTGTAGAGTATATATTACAAAGATTTCTATGGATCAACTAGTCTAAATAACGTACAAAGCAATCCATCTTTCAATGGTAAACACACGTGTCAAAGTGATCAAACATTCGTGCAATCAATAGTCGGACATGTTATTTGTAGAAGAGCAATAAAATAATCCATAAATATTATTTAAATACAGATTGACAATTAAAGGCTTGAAGATCTGTGTTTTAAAAACCCTTTCCATCAATCAAAGCATCAAAGCTTGGATTTGACATGCAATATCAAATGTAAAGTTGTAGAAAATAAAAACATTTTGTTAAACAATCACCATCCATGTGCGTTTCTGCATTTAACAAAACAAGCATGAGTGCAACCAAGAATGCAAATATGTGATGGAAAATGCTCAGTACACATCACGTATTGTTTCTCTTCTAAATAATACAACCTGAGCATTCGTTGTCAACTCCTGTCTAAGTAATGGCTACTATTTTAGGAAATTAACCAATTGTTTATTCTGAGCAATCAACTGACAGCTACCCAATTCATGGGTATGGCAACGTACCAACTGCATCTACTAGCACCAATTTTGAAGTAAATAGCATGCTTTGTAATAATTTAGTAAGAAATTTCTGCGCATGCGCTCAAGCATAATTAGTCATAATTAGTAATTGTTACATAGTCATACAAAGACACAACTATATGTACTTACACTACATTTGTGTCAATTAACTTGTTAGTGCAAATTATCAGGAGGTTCTGTGGCATGCGCAGTAACCATAACAATCATCCATGGGGGTTTGTACTTTTGGTATATATATAAGTAATGCCGCCCCACCCCGAGTTAAAATGTTGCAGCTGTTCGTCATATCATTGCATTCATGTGACAACCCTTGCAAATCATTGACGAGGATGAAATGGATTCTCCATTGGCACTTTTTAAGTTTTCCTTTGGAATTACACCAGATGCGAGACTATTTTGAATTGGCTACACTTAGCAAAGAAAAGGTTTCTTTATTTGAAACAGGTATGCAAGATAATCTGCAATGGTGAACATCCTTTTAGCTTTACATATACTATTTCCTTTATCGGTATGGTATTTAGCACTTTCTAGCATTTTGTAAATATTACAATTTAATTATTTTAGGCAATGAGAATGATGCAAGCGATTTTACTGATCTTCCTGAAAAAAATGGTCATAAAATTTTGGCGCCATCTGAAAGTGGTATTTGTTCTTGTGGTGCAGAGTGGGATAAACGTTCTATTCAAGATGAATGGTTGTACGTAGACTTGTGTTCAGTTGCGTACTTTTGTTCAATCCATGATGTGAAGGGTAAGTTCTGATTTGTTATAGGTTAGGCTTCACTTCATAATTATTTGACTTAAATAAATTATTTAGTGTATTGTAGACCTTGCTCCTCTTGTGCTACGAAAAAGCATTATGATGGCATTGAAAACAGGATTGTATGGTTTGGATCATATGCAATATCTCATGCCGTTCTAAAAGATTACATTCGGCTTTTCATAACGTCGAGGTACTTTTGATCTACCCAAGAAAGATTACATTGGGCTTTTCATAACGTCGAGGTACTTTTGATCTACCCAAGAAAGATCTCTCGTGGTAACATGTTAGGTATGGCCAGTGGTTGGTCATCGTCATTGAGCCTTTTGACACCAGTTCAGAATACGTTAAATGTCCTGAAGACGTTGAGGAGGTTGCTAGTAAAGCGTCGCCTAAACCAGAAGTTAGTTTTCATGGTATGCTAACGGATTACGCAAACGTTGTTAAGAAGAAGCTCACATCAAATGGTTATGGTCAAACGTAGTATGTCTTCTATAACCTCTATTCTTGTTCTCCACTTCATCATCTATCCATATTTGTTCTTTTTTAGTTCTCAGCTCAACACGACCCTTGTTTGAAGTTCCTAAAACCTTGATCTACCCAAGAAAGATCTCTCGTGGTAACATGTTAGGTATGGCTAGTGGTTGGTCGTCGTCATTGAGCCTTTGACACCAGTTCAGTATACGTTAAATGTCCTGAAGACGTTGAGGAGGTTGCTAGTAAATCTTCGCTTAAACCAGAAGTTAGTTTTCATGGTATGCTAACGGATTACGCAAACGTTGTTAGGAAGAAGCTCACATCAAATGGTTATGGTCTCGTTCCATCGTCGTCTGAGGATGTTCCATGTTTATCCTGTATCTTTCACCAATGTTACAAATACTTAGTTTTTATGTTTTTGAAATTGTCGTTTTATGACTATTATTTTAGAGCATAGACATTGAAGAATCTTGTGGTAGTACAGGTATTTTCAACATTTTTGTTGAAAATTCTCTAGTTTCAATTCTTCGAAATTTCTCATCTTAATTTTCATCTTTACTTTAGAATCCTTTCGATACGAGAAATCGTCGGGATTTGAGGTACTTTATACGATATATTGAATTTAAGTTTTATAGCGTTAATAACTCTCATCTGTCCATCGTAACTTTGCTATAATTCTATGGATAAATTATGTTTTATATATAACAGATTATTGATGATCCTACTTCACCTGAAGGTGTTCAGCAAGAACGACGTATGAAGTTACTGTCGTTAATTAACAATATAGCCCTTGATAAAGGGTTGGATGGTCAAAATTATAAATGTCATGGTTGTTCCAGACCAATTGGAATGAGTATGATCAATGAATTCTCGACTTGTTATTTGCTAATAACTCAAATATATTTATTTTCAAATTTCTTAGCTTAATAAATGTTATCTTTGTAGAAACTATTATAACAAGTACATAATCCCTTTTTCCGTGAAGCCCATGGATGCGTTCGTTCATGATGAAAGAGTCATATTGTATAAGGCTCTCGTTCATCACGAGAGTTATGAGAAAGTTACGTTGTAAAAGGTAATAAGTAAAAACGTATAAACATGCTTAGTGTTTGTTTAAGTTAAAGTTCAAAAGGCAGAAATTTTTGAACCTTTGAAGTATCCTTGGACGTTCTAGTTTTTTTTATGAGAAGAATTCTTGTAAAGAAAAAGATAAATTTTGAAAACCAAACAATCCCGTTTTCGGTCGATGCCTCCCGATACCCCGAGATAGTTGAGCACTAGAGCGTCGCATGTTAACTAAGGGAACCACATAATCCTTGTTTGTTTTCCATGAAACATATGGATGGTTTGCTCGTGATACATGAGAAACAGTAAATGGGAGAGTTAAATCAGAAAGATATAAACCGATAAAATTGGTATAAACATGTTTAGGGTTGTCTTTAATTATAAGTGTCAGAAAAAGACAGGGTCATAAGAAGTTAATTGAAACATTGCTTGGTTTGTTTTATGAGAAGAAAACAAAAAGATAAAATTCGAAAGCAAAAAACCCCGTTTTCGGTCCATGCTTCCCGATACCTTCTTAAGTGCAAGGCACTAGAACGCCGCATGTTAACGTTTCGGTAGGAGATTTCTGCCCCTCCACGCTATCCTACTTGGGAGATGCCAATAACAAGCTTCCGCCCATTAGACTCTGAGATTACCTGCGATAGGCTTTGCTCAGGGTACGCAGGGAGAGTGAGGGCCCCTAAGCCACTGCATACTATATCGCACCCAGCTTCCACTGCTAGTTGATATCTACTATATGAAGTTTTAGCTTTATATGTATATACCAAAATTTAAAGGCGTACGAAAGTTGTGGGATGATTGTTATCGTTACTGCGCATGCGCAGATGATTTGTCTTAAAACGTGTGACTGAGCGAGCTAATTACTCCAAAATCGGTACTAGTACATCCAGTTGGTCGTTACCATGGGCTTGGAGAGTTTGTGGAGTTGACAACGCATGCTCAGATTCTCAATTAATTTGTGACAGAGCGAGCTCTGAAATTGGTGCATGTAGATGCAAGCAAGCTGAAGCAAGTTGAGCAAGTTTTCCATCATATATTTTTGGCATGCTCTTTGTCTACTTAAGCTTGTTTTGACAAATGCATGTGAAACTCGTCAACACTTTGTTACGGCACTCGTAATATCCGTGACAACGTTAAAAATGTTTTTTATTTTTCTCTACAACTTTATACCTGCATATTGCATGTCATATCCAAGCTTTCCTTTAATTTGACGGGAAATGGTTTTTATTCACTCTTACATCTTCTGCCTTTATAATTAGTCGATCTGTATTTCTAAACTAATATTTACAAATGCCCCAAGAGAATCTTTTTATTTTATTGGCTCTCTTCTACAAATACAATACCATGTCCGAGTATTTGATTGCACGAATTTTGTAATTTGATCACTTTTTTCGACACGTGTGTTTACCATGGGAAAGATGGATTGCTTAAATGTACCTAGTTGTTTAGACTAGTTGGATCCATAGTTATCCTGTATTGTATACTGTTGTGAAACACCAGTGAGCATACGTAGTGTGTCTTCTATAACCTCTATTGTTGTTGTCCATTTCATCATCTATCCATATTTGTTCTTTTTTAGTTCTCAGCTCAACACAACCCTTGTCTGAAGTTCCTAAAACCTTGATCTACCCAAGAAAGTTCTCTCGAGGTAACATGTTAGGTATGGCCAGTGGTTGGTCATCGTCATTGAGCCCTTTGACACCAGTTCAGTATACGTTAAATGTCCCGAAGACGTTGAGGAGGTTGCTAGTAAAGCGTCGCCTAAACCAGAAGTTAGTTTTCATGGTATGCTAACGGATTACGCAAACGTTGTTAGGAAGAAGCTCACATCAAATGGTTATGGTCTCGTTCCATCGTCGTCTGAGGATGTTTCATGTTTATCCTGTATCTTTCACCAATGTTACAAATACTTAGTTTTTTTATGTTTTTTGAAATTGTCGTTTTTATGACTATTATTTTAGAGCATAGACATTGAAGAATCTTGTGGTAGTACAGGTATTTTCAACATTTTTTTGTTGAAAAATTCTCTAGTTTCAATTCTTCGAAATTTCTCATCTTAATTTTCATCTTTACTTTAGAATCCTTTCGATACGAGAAATCGTCGGGATTTGAGGTACTTTATACGATATATTGAATTTAATTTTATAGCGTTAATAACCCTGATCTGTCCATGGTAACTTTACTATAATTCTATGGATAAATTATGTTTTTATATATAACAGATTATTGATGATCCTACTTCACCTGAAGGTGTTCAGCAAGAACGACGTATGAAGTTACTGTCGTTAATTAATAATATAGCCCTTGGTAAAGGGTTGGATGGTCGAAATTACTAATGTGATGGTTGTTCCAGACCAATTGGAATGAGTATGATCAATGAATTCTCGACTTGTTATTTGCTAATAACTCCAATATATTTATTTTCAAATTTCTTAGCTTAATAAATATTATCCTTTGTAGAAACTTTTATAACAAAGTACATAATTCCTTTTTTCCGTGAAACCCATGGATGCGTTCCTTCATGATGAAAGAGTCATATTGTATAAGGAGGCTCTCGTTCATCACGAGAGAGTTATGAGAAAGTTACGTTGTAAAAGGTAATAAGTAAAAAACGTATAAACATGCTTAGTGTTTGTTTAAGTTAAAGTTCAAAAAGGCAGAAATTTTTTGAACCTTTGAAGTATCCTTGGACGTTCTAGTTTTTTTTATGAGAAGAATTCTTGTAAAGAAAAAGATAAATTTTGAAAACCAAACAATCCCGTTTTCGGTTGATGCCTCCCGATACCCCGAGATAGTTGAGCACTAGAGCGTCGCATGTTAACTAAGGGAACCACATAATCCTTGTTTGTTTTCCATGAAACATATGGATGGTTTGCTCGTGATACATGAGAAACAGTAAATGGGAGAGTTAAATCAGAAAGATATAAACTGATAAAATTGGTATAAAACTTGTTTAAGGTTGTCTTTATTTATATGTGTCAGACAGGGTCATAAGAAGTTAATTGAAACATTGCTTGGTTTGTTTTATGAGAAGAAAACAAAAAGATAAAATTCGAAGGGAAAAAACCCCCTTTTTCGGTCCATGCTTCCCGATTCCTTCTTAAGCGCAAGGTACTAGAACGCCGCATGTTAACGTTTCGGTAGGATATTTCGGCCCCTACACGCTATCCTACTTGGGAGATGCCAATAGCAAGCCCATCAGACCCTGAGATCACCTGCGATAGGCTTTGCTCAGGGTACGCAGGGAGAGTGGGGTCGCCACCGAAGTTAGGGCCCCTAAGCCACTGCATACTATATCGCACCCAGCTTCCACTGCTAGTTGAAATCTACTATATGAAGTTTTAGCTTTATATATATATACCAAAATTTAAAGGCGTACGAAAGTTGTGGGATGATTGTTATCGTTACTGCGCATGACCAGATGATTTTTTTGATAATTTGCGACTACGTGAGTTAATTGACACAAATGTAGTGCAAGTACATATAGTTGTCGTTTTCATGACTATGAACAATTACTCGAGTGGAGTGCGCATGATCGGGCGCATACGCAGATGATTTCTCTATTAAATTGTTACTAAGCATGCTATTTACCTAAAAATTGGTGCTAGTAGATGCAGTTGGTCGTTGCCATGACCATGAACTTGGGTTACTGGTCAAGTTTGTTCAACTGGATGTACTAGTACCGATTTTGGAGCAATTAGCTCGCTCAGTCACACGTTTTAAGACAAATAATCTGCGCATGCGCAATCTCATTGAGCATGCGCAGTCAACTTGACCAGCTCCCCAAGTTCATGGTCATGGCAACGACCAACTTTATCTACTACAAACAATT